CAAATAAAGAAACAAATGCTGCTTATAACACACACACACACACACACACACACACACACACACACACACACACACACACACACACTTCATGTCCGACCTCCCCGGGACTTTTGTAGCTAAAATCTAATTTTGTATTAAACATTAATGCATTCAGAGCGTCGTCATCATACAGACATGTACAACTTTTGCGTGAGACCGAACTTCTGGTTTTCTCTCTCTTGGTTGTTGTTTTTGTTGTTGTGGGTTTTTTTTTTATTATTTTGAAAAGCATGACGCCTGTAAAAAATCTTAAGCAATCTGTCAGAGCTCAGAGTATTTGTTGGGGATCAGTTTTGGCTACAACCACACCAATGTCTAGTGCAATATCTACAAAACATTCTACAGCTACAGCTATTCTTTTACACCCGTTGAGGGCAGGACATATTCTGAAATGTTGTGCATCTGTAAATTTTTTCGGCCCAAAATGTCTGAACCATCCATCCATTATCTTCCGCTTATTCCGAAGTCAGGTCTTTGGGGGCTGCAGCCTGAGCAGGGAGGTCCAGACATCTCTCTCCACAGCCACCTCTTTCAGCTCTTCTGGGAGGACTCCAAGGTGTTCCCAGGCCAGTTGAGAGACATAGACTCTATAGCGTGTCCTGGATCTTCCCCGGGGTCTCCTCCCAGTCAGACATGCCCGAAGAACCTCCCTAGGGAAGCACCCAGGAAGCATCCTTACCAGATGCCCGAACCACCTCAACTGGCTCCTTTTGATGTGGAGGAGCAGCGGTTCTACTCTGAGTCTCTCCTGATCACTGAACTTCTCACCCTGTCTCTAAGGGAGAGTCCAGCTCTGCAGAGGAAACTCATTTCAACCTCTTGTATCCACGATCTCATTCTTTCAGTCACTACTCAGAGCTCGTGGCCATAGGTGAGGGTAGGAACGTAGACCGACCAGTAAACGGAGAGCTTTGCCTTACAGCTCAGCTCCCTCTTCACCACAATGGACCGGCACAGAGTCCGCAGTACTGCAGACACTGCACCAGTCCATCTGTCAATCATATGCTCCATTCATCCCTCACTGTGAACAAAACCCTGAGATACTTGAACTCCTCCATTTGAGGCAGAACCTCACCCTCGACCTGAACGGAGCAATTCACCCTTTTCCCACTGAGGACCATGACCTCAGATTTGTAGGTGCTGATTCTCATCCCAGAGAGATGTGGATTTCTTTCTGTAAAATTTGTTCAATTTAGTCCACTGGTTTGAGATATTTTGGAAACACACGTGCACAAATGTAGACAAAAATCCAGCAAATATAACATTTATCGTTCTTTAAGGTGTTTGACCCTGAGCTGAATTGACAAATCACTGTTTCACAAGTTTTTGTTGAGAGAGACAGAAACTGGTGTGTTTGAGGGGATGGAAAGTGACGTCAGGTGTCGGGTTCAGCACTGATAATAAGAATACACAAACGTGCAACAGCTTGAATTTCAATCTGCCTGCTTGACATCAAAGCAAAGTTGATGGTGTCTTGCACATATAATGTAAAATCATACAGGATTTAATTTCCCCCAGAGTTTGATTTTTTTCTTTTAATTTGTTTCTGTGTTGTACCTCAGGGTGAGAGGTACCTACAGAGATGTTCCACATTTCTAATGAGGAGGCAGCTTGACGAGCATAATAAATATATGAAGGAAGTGCTTTAAGGTTTATTGAACTGCAGTTATTTTTGTAGACCTGTGTGTTAGTCATTCTGTCCCTTCTCAACATATTTAAATACATATATTTGACATTTATAAGTTCAACATGTTGGAGTTTAAAGCAGAGCAGAAGACCATAAAGTGACAGAGACAGCCGCCACAAAAAGAGGGTGATCATGTTATTGTGTCTGTGTGTCTGCAAGAAAAACATTTCATGAAGCGCTGCAAGGATTCCAGTAACACTCTCAACGTAATCATTAGATGTTCATGTACAGCTGCTTATAATGTGGAGGCAGCCTGGTGCAGAGGGGTGGGTAATCATGTACACCTGTACGCTGTTTTCTGACCTCCAGTTAGACAGAAATAATAACAAACACTCGTCTAACATCAGAAATGTGTTTAATAAGGACCGTCAAACTGCCAGCGGTCATAACTATTTCATATCAAAAGTATAAAAATGAATGAGCAAAAATACTTTTTTGTTTTTTCATTTTGTTGAGAAATATCCAAAGCTATATCACAAAATCTGATAATTAAACATAATGGCAAAAAAACTAACGAATACGGCTTGTCGAGGGAAAAAAAGGAAATGTTTTGTTAATATTTTAAATATGATTTGTGTTGTTTTAATGCGCCTCAGCTGGACTGTTCTATATTCTTTAGTGGCGTCAGTTGACATGTATCCAGTGTTAAAAATTCACATCAGAATGGAGGAAAGGACAAAATAAAAATGACAACTTGTGTCTCTCAAATCTTCAGTACTTTTTCCACATATGCTCTATTTGCAACTGAAGTTGAGTTGCCCTGGCATGGGTCCTAATAATCAGTCCATAATGGGACTAATTCCAGTCCTTTTAACCATTTTTGTATCTGCTTCAGTGCCCATTTCCTGCGGTGTGCCGCAGAGCTCGGTTCTTGGACACTTTCTGTTTTCATTGTATCAGCTCCCTTTGGGGTCCATCCTGAAGAAACATTGTCTTTCTTTTTGCTGCTATACTGATGATTGTCAGATTTATCTGTCCTTAAAACCTAACAGTTGTTGCTCCATTCATTAAAATGTCTTGATGACATCAAGGCATGAATGACTTCAATTTTTTCAAGTTTTAATGATCAGAAAACTGAAGTTATTGTGTTTAGCCCAAACCGTGACTCTCTTGAGCCATATCTTTAGCAGTCTGTTACAAATCCCAGGATGGTTTTAGACTCTGACTTTAAGTTTAATAAACAGATTAACTCTGTTCTGCAGAAAAGCTTCTTCCAGTTAAGGCAGATAGCTAAACTGAAGTCCGTGTTGATCAGATCGGACCTTGAACAAATAGTCCATGCCTTCATTACAACGTTGACTTGACTACTGTAACGTTCTTTATGTTGGGTCAGTCACGTCTCCCTTTCACGTCTCCAGCTCGTCCAAAATGCTGCAGCTCGGCTTTTAACAGGAACTCTTAGGTTTGATCATATTTCACCAGTTTTGTCCTCCCTTCACTGGCTCCCTGTATGTATCAGAATTGAGTTTAAAATTCTCCTGTTGACCTTAAAGTATCTAAATGGCCTTGTACCCTCATGTTTCTCTGATCTACTTCTACCATGATGATTTATTTCATGTTGCTGTGTTCATTCATGCTCATCTACTCACCCACTCATGTTTGTGCTGCTGTTGTTTGACACACTGTTTTGTACTATTAGTGCTTAGTGTATTCTTAGTTCATGTCTTGGATCTTACTACTGTTTTTCTTTACAATTTGTATTTTTATTGGATGTAACTGGGACCCTGTGTACATATTTTCATTCCACCTCATGTACCACATGTGCTGTGAATGACAGTAAAGAACCTTGAATCGTTGAACCCTGAGGTCATCTGATCAGCCGCTTTAAGCTGTTTCAAAAACCAGGCTGAAGCTCAGAGGAGACCGGGCTTTTTCAGTCCTGGGCCCTAAACTCTGAACGATCTGCCCCAACATTAGACAGGACACTTCACTTCCTGTTTGTAAATCTCTTTTAAAAGCACACCAGTTTTATCTGGATTTGAACACAGTGTGATTTGATTTAGTATTTCATTGTTCAGTTTTATGTTTTTCTTTTGATGGTTTAAATTAATTTTCATTATTATTAATATTTATGTATTTTTATTCAATTACTCCCGTTGATTTGTATTGTTAAGCACTTTGGTAACAGCTGCTGTTTTAAATGTGCTTCATAAATAAAGTTGACTTGATTTGATAGAAAAGCACCTACTGCGATAGTAAAATACCATTTAATAAAATTATATGTTTTTCTGAAAGCACAAAAAGAACAAAAGTTTTAACACTACTTCAGAGTTTCGGTCTTTTACTTTTCTTTTACTGTTTTGTTTGAAGACATTTCATTCTTGCTGGTGCAGGCCTGCTCTTACTACAGCATATTTCTGCTTGAACTTGTTTTTCAGAATATTCCAGTGGGCACATCAATATTTATGGTGAACGCCACAGATCCAGACCAGGGCACCGGTGGCAGCGTTCTCTTCTCTTTTCAGCCGCCTTCCTCCTTCTTTGCTATTGACGGAGCCCGAGGCACCGTCACTGTCACCAAAGGTCTGGACTATGAGACGACCACAGCATACCAGTTAACTGTCAACGCCACGGTGAGCACACATCGGCTGCTCTATGTGCTGTTGCAAACATCAGCCTGATTATGACTTGTGCATCAACTGTTCTTCTGCTAGGATCAAGACAAAGTGAGACCTCTATCTCAGCTGGCAAACTTGGCAATCGCCATCACTGACGTCCAGGATATGGACCCTATATTCACCAATTTGCCCTACAGCACCAACATATACGAGAACGTTCCCCTGGTCAGTAATGAAAACCCACCTTGTGGCTTCAGTTTGAATTGTAGTGATGACGCTTTATAGTGAAACCATGAAATATGTCCATTTAATTTAACCTTTGCTACTGCTAGCATGTTCTTGTTCTTTTCTTCATTGTTCGTCTCCAACTCCACCTCCGTTCATAAAACCTTTTAGATTCTTTTGGACCACTTTAGTCCTTATTTGAGATAGTCCTTGGGACTTTGTTTATCTGGTCTTTTTTTGAACTCCAGCTTCAGAGTAAGTGCTTTCTTAACTCTTGGTCCATAGATAAATTTGCATTGACTGGCAAAACTAAAAGGTGAAATGTGGAGGGTTTCAAGTATTGTAAAGTTTTTTTTTAATTCACGAGTGATGGCAGACGACCACGGTAGCTCAATTGGTAGAGTTGCCGCCTATGAGCAAGAAGGTTGCTGGTTCAAATCCTGGCCTGGGGTCTTTCTGGGTGGAGTTTGCATGTTTTCTCCGTGCTGCATGGGTTTTCTTCAGGTAATCCAGTTTCCTCCCACAGATCAAAAACATGCATGTTAGGCTGATTAGTAACTCTAAATTGTCTCTAGGTGTGAGAGAGTGAATGGTTGTTTGCCTCGTTTGTCTCCATGTGTCCCTGTGATGGACTGGAGACCTGTCCAGGGTGTCCCCCACCTCTCGCACAGTGATAGCTGGACATGGGCACCAGTGTTCCCTGTAATCAAAAAAGGAAGACACGTTTACAGTTAATGGATGGATGGATTGATGGATGAGTGATGGCAGGTTTGAGCAGGAGCTAAATCGACAGATTGGTCCCTCATCGGCAGATGAGGGTGTTGGTCTGGTTTGAGGTGGCTGTGCCAAAAAGCAAAGCTCTCAATTCTCTAGTCTGTCTACGTTCTTGTCCTCATCCATGGTCATGATGAATGGATCATGACAGAAACAACGAGCTCTCAGATACAAGCATCTGAAATGTCTTTCCTCCATAGGGAGGCCATGCTTGGTCTTAGAGATGGGTGAGGAGCTCCATCATCTGCTGGGAGCTTGACGTAGAGCCACTCCTTCATATTGGAAGGAGTCTGTAGAAGTGGTTTGGGCATCTGATGAGGATTCCTCGTGGGTACCTCTCTTTGGAGGCTCTCCAGACATGTCCCATTGGGAGAAGAACCTGAAGCAAAGCCAGAACTATCTAGTTATGCATCTTCTCTAACCCGCAAAGGCTCCGTGATCTCTCAGAAAGAGTTGAAGTGTGCTGCTGGAACGTCTTGGGGTTTCTCCTAACACTGTTGCATCTGCAGCCTGAACCCCATGTAGGCTGCAGAAAATAAATGGATGATTGGTTGAGCAAACTGAGCACTCTTTCTGCACCATATTAAAACCACATTATTATTGCTGAAGTAAAAGCTAGCCACAAAAAGAAACCGTCCAGAGGACCTGACCTAACTTTGTAGGATAAAAGTTATACGTTTGTCTTTCTATGTTGAACATTTTCGGTATAACGTAGACTGGTCTGAGACTTGGCTCCTGAAACTCCTTCTGAATGTTTGTATTTGTTGTAACTCCACGTTAAAAGTAAATAAAAGACCCACAAAACAGCTGCAACTTTGAAATCCTCCTTTGCTGTTGTTGGAGAACGTTGCGTATAAGTGACGTGGCAGCACTGACCAAGTGGTCTAACGACAACTGGCACTGCAAAAGTAAACATGTAGGGATTTATATCTTCACCACAGAGAGAGTCCCTGTTTCCCTCAGTTCACATTCTGAATAACCGAAAGACAATTTCAGCTAAAACAATACTGAGGAACCTCTGATTATGTGCTTAAAAATATGTTTAAAGGCAAGTGCCTGGAGAAAAATCAGGTATTTCCTCCAAACTCAGTGAAGGGAATCTACAAACAGCATTGCAGGTGTTGCATGCTGTAACTACTGGTGGAAATTTATAATCTTGCCTCGGGGATGTTAGGCCTCCAGCAAAGGTCACCGGGGGAAGTCTGAATTGCATGCATTGCTAAGCAGAAGGGTCTCACCTTAACCTTACCTCAGTCGTTACCGTGGGTAGGTTGGTAATGACTTTAATGCACTGTTTCTGTTTTCACTTTTATTTCTACTCCCTCATCTCAGCCCTTTAACTTGGTACCCAGGTGGCTAATGGTCCATCTATCGATGTTTCCACTCACTGTGAAGGAATTATACATGGGGCTATATTATGTCTGTCCCTATTCCTGTTTCTTAGTCTTTCTATCACTTTATTTCAATATGTGTCTCCCTCAGGCTTTCGCCCAAACCATCCCCCCCTCAACTCACACAGCCACTTGCTTATCCCTCGTCCCCAGCCCGTTCGTGTCGTAGTAGAAATGTCAAGTGCTACATTTGCATGCATATTAACGGGGCATGACGGAGTCTCCCTGACTCTCTGATTCATCAACTGTCACCAGGAAGGTCACAACAGAAGGAAAAGGAAGAGGAGCGGGGGGACGGTGCGAGAGAACAGAAACGGAACAGAATGTTGGGGTGAAATAAAAGAAAATGAAAAGTGGGGGGGGGGGGGGGGGGGGGGGGGGGGGGGGGGGGCTTATATAGAAAGTTTGTTGAGATGAGAAAAGAGTTGGGTCATTAGGTTGGATGGCAAAGTTTACATTTTTGAGTGGATCCCAAATTTCTCCCGGCAGCCAAATGTTCAGACCTTGTCCACACGGATACGTCTTTTTATTCACCATTTCTAAAAATATCCTTGTAAACCCAAAACGCTGTAGAAACCATTCTAGGTGCAAAGGAAACCAAAGAAGAAGAAATGCCCTCAGATTGTCGGATACATTAGAGCTGGGGCTATGACATCATTGTTTTAAAAAATTTTGCATTTTGGTTGTTCACAAGAAAATGTAAGTGTAGCAATAAAGATTTTTTTTAAACTCTAGAAACCTTTATCAAAACCTACCATTTAGACTGAGGCTCTGGTACTTCACCAGGCAACGGCATAAAAAATACTAAAATTTCACTTATTTCTGTTGCGTTTTACTTTGTTTACTTTTTAAAGTACAGAAGTAATATAAGCTTCAGGGAAAGCCACAGCCAAAACAACGAACAAAGCAGCCCTAATTAGAAAATAAAGTCGAAATTACTTGCCTGGTTAAATAAAGGTTAATAAATAAATAAAAAGAGCACAGCACGTCATGATTTCAGCTCTTGGCCACGCCCACTTCTCCGCTGCAGAACGGATATTGACGGGAGGGAGGAGGAAGAAGGAGGAGCTGCAGGGAGACGTTTCTCCTGCTGTGTGGGCTGCACACAGGTGCTAAATAATTTATAAGTATTTAGTTCAAATAAACATTCCATGCCGATCGTGCGGCTCATCCATCAATCAGCCAGTTGTGTGTCATATCCAATCTTATTTTGAAAAACTGTGATAGAGCGAGTCGCGATAAACGAACTGCGAAGCAGCGAGGGATTACTCTAACTAAAAAAAACTAGCTAATGCTAAACTGCTAAACAAATGACATCAATTAGTCGAAGCTAACGCTAAACCGTTAACTGCTAAGACGACTATCACAGTCTGCGCCACACGTCTTTGTCTCCCTCCAGCTGAAGCGGTCAACCAATCACATCTTATCACGCGTACACGTAGTCGGCCAATAGCGTGCCTAACAGACCCTTCGAGACACGCCCACAACAGACAGGAACAAGCTTGTGAGTTTTAACAGATTTAAAGTTGTCAAAACCTAATTTAGCTGAAGCTAATTTCGCTAACTGTTTCCAAAGTTAGCGAAAACATTAATCTGATAAATGAAAAATTTGTTCCGATGTTAGCGGATTAGCAGGACTGTGCACATTAGTCACTGTAAAAAAGGTCAGTGTTGCTTTTCTCACTCCTCCTGAAGGCTGCAGCTTCTGCAGCTACGTGCTGAGGGGAAGAGTCGGTCACACATTATTTAAAAGAGAACAGCTTTATTCCCTAACCACGATGCACAAAGGAGTTTTTAATGTCCTGAGAGGTTTCCTGACCCAGACTCCAACTCCCCTACAGTTTTTACAGATACAGAACCTGCCTGGATTTATTTTATACAAAATACTTTGTGTTTTTTTCCAAATTGTTAAGGTAAAATGTTAGCAGCTGTTTGCTTTGATGACCTTTGATATAAAGGTTTCATTACAAGCCAATAAAAAAAATTTATAATTTAGTCTTGATTAAAACAAATCAGTAAACTGTTTGTTCTGATTGTTAAATAAGATCCACTGACAAAAAGTTGATATTTTGAGTTGCCTGTGAATGTTTAGACATAAAAACAAATCTGAAAATCATGACAACTTTTAAGAGAAAGTATAGAAAAACTGTTGGCCCTCGATCTGAGTTTTGATATGACCTCCTCGACAGAACGGATATGAAAAGACTTTAGCCACCAGTCAGCTGAGGTTGTGGCAACACTTTTTTCTTTAAAACACTTAAAGTCTTGTCTTGATTTTGTTAGAAGTGTTTCAGTTCAGTTTCGTTTCATGTCTCCAACGGCTGCAACTGTCGGAGACAAAATCGTGAAGGAAATCTGCTAAATGCACAAAGTTTGTGTGAATCCTGATAAAATGTGAGCCAGAATGTTCCGGGGGTTTGCAAACGCATCACTAAAACAGTCGGTAAAAAAAATGAATAAATATTCGGCACTCTGGAATTACAGAAACTAAACTGAGAAGGGTTTGAGACAGATGCTCACGATGAGATTTACTATTTTGAAACAAAAATAAAATAAATCGACAAATATTTTGTTCAGTCGTGTTCAAAATTCCTCTTGCTAGATTTTGTCAACAGGAATTGGCACGGTGGTGCAGTTGGTAGAGTTGCTGCCTCTTAGCGATAAGGTTGCCGGTTTAAATCCCACCTTTCTGGGTGGAGTTTGCATGTTCTCTCCGTGCTGCGTGGGTTTTCTCTGGGTATTCCGGCTTCTTCCAACAGACCAAAAACATGCATGTTAGGCTGACTGGTAAGAATAAATTGTCCCTAAGTGAGAGAGAGAGTGAATGGTTGTTTGTCTCTGTGTCCCTGTGATGGACTGAAGACCTGTCCAGGGTGTCCCCCACCTCTCGCTCAGTGATATGGGCACCAGTGACCCCCGCGACTTGAAAGGAAGAAGTGAGTAAAGATGATGGATGGATGGATGGATGGATGTTTCGATACATTATCAGTTAGACAGTCTGGTGACCTGTCAAGAGTTGACCCCGCCTCTCACCTGTTGACTGCAGGAACTATGGCAGTCAGCAGGTGAGTGTTCAATCCAGTTTTGGTGACAGTCCTGGTCCTCAGTCCTGGTTTTCAGTCCTGGTCCTCAGTCCTGGTCCTGAAGGATCACCGTCCTCCATATTTTAGAGATTTCTCTGTTTCAACTCACCTGATGTACAGATTTTTGCAGAAGACCTGCTGATGAGCAGGAAACATCTAAACCATGCCTAGTGATCCTCCAGGACCAGGATACATGACTGCTGGTATAAAAAGGTCATGGCAGATGCTCGTCTACCGTCCACCAGAGTTTCCTGATCCTCTTTGACCCGTTAACGGCCTCTGATGACCTCATGTTGTTCTCTAACGAGCACGTCGTTTCCATTTTGCACCGTTTAGTGACGACGGGCCGACTGACAGAATTATCGTCAACAGTTCTGAAAGCTTTGGACGTTCAGGCGGACCTCGGTCACGGGTCGTCCCTCAAAGGTTCATCTGCTCAAACCCTCTTCTCACCAACCGCCGTCGTTCATTTTTCTCCTGTTCTGTCCATCTTCTTGATCTGGTGCCATGAACGTGTCATCCAGGGACAGGTCTGACAGAGGACTCGAACATCTTCTTGCTTTTTCAGAAAAGCATAAAAAAAGTCTGCCTGTGTTTTTAACCGTTGCTGCTGTGAGTCTACGCTTGAACTGACATTAAGCCCCGTCTAGGACAAACACACAATTTGGCTGTCAAATCAATGAGGAGAGAAGGAGAAAGGGTGGGGGACGTGCACTCTAGCAACAAATGGAGGTGTGTGTGTGTGTGTGTGTGTGTGTGTGTGTGTGTGTGTGCTGGAGGGGAGGGATTGTACCTTTTGATGGCTGATTGAACATATTCCACTCGTGTGGACAGCTGGAGAATATTGCTCACATTACTTCAGCATCACTTCTCCTTATTTTTCGCTCTATCTTGCATTTTGTGTGTGTGCGTGCACGTGTCTGTGCATGTGTGTGTGTGGGGGGGGGGTAAACTTGTGAATGGTCAGAATCGGTTCTTTAAAAGGCTCGTAATTGATTCTGCTGTAATTGGTCAATGACAGGAGCATAAACACGTCTTGGACACAATTTGCAGGATCAATGGGAGGCGGCACCCTCGGGTGTGCATGAGGGGCGAGGAAGGAAGAGAAGGAGGAAGGAAGGAGGAAAGGAAGGAGGAAAGGAGGGGCGAAGGGGACTTTCAGTGGCTCTCTGCAGCACCGGGGGGTTTAAGCATCAGCACCGTGTTTGATTGAAGTACGGAGGCTGAGAAAGTGTAGCAGATCAAAGATGTTTCAAAAAGCTTTTTTATTTTTTGCCAAGCTGTCAAACTGTGACTTTTTTCTTTTAAGCGTCAGATTTATTGGTGCAGTTTGAAAGGTTTGGGAACAATGACAAAAGAAATAAACAGCAATAACACATTTATACATATATATATATATATATATATATATATATATATATATGTATATATATATATACACACACGTGTCAACATTAACAAACAGAAATGGCTTCACCTCAGTCACTTTACAGATACTGAGCTAAAATTCTGTGTGGTAGTAGCTGAAAGTCATTCACAACACAAACTGTGAGCTCTCACTTGTTGCGTGAGATCTTTATTTTCAAGATTTGACCTAAACCAGTAGAACAGATGAGGTCAAAACCAGCATGAAAGGTGGTGGGCGGCACTCTTTCCTTTACAATATAATCCATAATCTGGATTATGGTCTTCATCCACCTGTTGTGTTTGTAGTTTGACCTTTTGTTCTTCAGCTGGTCTGAATTTTGTTGTTTGGGTCTCTGCAGGGCTACGAAGTGCGCAAGATAACAGCCATGGACCAGGATCTGGGCTCCCCGAGAGGAATCGGCTACACCATCGTCTCAGGTCTGAGTCCCAGAATCGATCGAGCATCCTCAGCACGTGGGGGGGGGGGGGGGGGTGTCAGTCGGGTCTTATCATAATTCTGCAGCAATAATAGACGAGTTCCATCGAGCAACAAGCGTCAGTAACGGCTGCAGAGAGCTGAAGTGGTGAATGGGCTCGCCCCCCAGCGGCTGTTAGTCACAGCTTTTCTTTCAGTTGTGCACAAGTCAGCTTTCATTTAGCGCACGTTTGCATCCAGGAGTTGGCTGCTGCCGTTAAAACAGGATTATGATGATTTGTCAGAGTGACAAATTTCTACCTTTGGCAAAAACAAGCGATCCGAAGATTTGCGGAGACGTGCTGGTATTGTTTGATTCTTCCCTCCTGTCAGGTCTGACGAGCAGGTTGTGAGAGCGACGCTGGGATTACGTCTCCGAGCTGATGGCCGCCGAGCGCCGCGTGATAAAATATCTAAAAGTTTGTGCAGAAGACGGTGAGACGGTTTGCACGGTGCTGATAAGGTGCAGCAGCTTTAATACTTACACACAGTTTCATTTTCTCTGCCAACAAAATAGTTTTTATGCCCGGAAGTTGCTTTTTCTGATACGGCGAATATTCACAAACAGATTCTCATTAAACTTATTGGAGGCAGGAACTCCACGACTTTAGAGGGAGATGTTGGCCCTTTTCTTAAAACGCTGCATTTATTAAGTTTGTTGGGTGTAAAAACTCAACAGTTCTGTTTTTCAAACACGTGAAAGAAAACAAAACGTTGCAGACGGGACTTTCATCCGTTCAGGATTAAACTTATTTATGCACAGCCACATCTTTTTTTTTATTGTAACACCAAATAAAAAATGTTGCCAGTTTAAAGAAGTTATTTATTGTCCCCCGTCTTGCAGCGAAGGGAGGAACCGGGTGGCCCAAGATTACTCGTGGCCAAGGCCACCATTGACCACCCCCTGTCTCCTCCACTGCACCTGGTGGATAAAATGGCTCCGCCCACTCACCAGGGTCTGTCACTCTGCTCTGCCTCAGACGAGATATAAAAACCTCCCTCTGTTCTCCACGGTGTAACTCAACCCACTGGATTATCTCGCACCAAAACATTTAGGTTTACTTATGATCTGTTTTCAATTCCAGTCCAGAAAAACACTCATCGCTAAAATTAGAAACGCTGTTCACATCCGTCAGCGACGGACGACATCGGTGCACGGCTTGTAAAGAAAATGCATTTGTGAGTTGACCAACAGAACGTAGACTGCCCCCCATGAATAACTCAAACATCTGATTTTGTACTGACTCATTCAGCTCCTGGTTCTGATCCATCCATCATCTTGTTCTGGACTCAGGTCTTGGTGCAGCATCTTGAGCAGGGAGGTCCAGACATCTCTCTCCACTGCCTCTTCCAGATCTTCTGGGAGGACTCCAAGGAGTTCCCAGACCAAAAGAGAGAAGTGGTCTCTCCAGCGTGTCCTGGGTCTTCCCCGGGGTCTCCTCCCAGTCTGACATGTCTGAACCAGCTCGACTGGCTCCTCTGGATGTGGAGGAGCAGCAGTTCTACTCAGAGTCTCTCCTGATCACTGAACTTCTCACCCTGTCTCTAAGGGAGAGTCCAGCTCTGCAGAGGAAACTCATTTCAACCTCCTGGATCCACGATCTCATTCTTTCAGTCTCTACCCAGAGTTCATGACCAGAGGTGAGGGTAGGAACGTAGACCAATGAGTAAACAGAGAGCTTCGCCTTACAGCTCAGCTCCCTCTTCACCACAACGGACCGGTACAGAGTCCACAATACTGTATAAACTGCACCAATCTGTCAATCTCACGCTCCATTCTTCCCTCGGTCGTGAACAAAACCCAGAGATACTTGAACTCCTCCACTTGAGGCAGAACCTCACCCTCGACCTGAAGAGAACAATCCACCCTTTGAGGACCACGGCCTCAGATCTGGAGGAGCTGATCCTCATCCCAGCCGCTTCACACTCGGCTGCGAACCGCTCCAGTGAGAGCTGAAAGTCACGGCACGATGACGCCAACAGGACCACATCATCTGCAAAGAGCAGAGCTGAATCCTGAGGCCACTGAACCGGACTCCCTCCACCCCCCGGCTGCACCGAGAAGTTCTGTCCATCAAAGTTATGAACAGAATCGGTGACAACGGGCCGTCCTGGTGGAGTCCTCCACTCTGAAAGGGTCCGACTTACTGTCGGCATTGTGAACCAAACTCTCACACCGTTTGTACAGGGACTGAACATCCCATAACAACGGCCCCCCCAATCCCATACTCTCAGAACCTGACTGTCAGAACCTGTTCTGTCAGGTTCTGATGATCCTGATAGTTATTGTCTCACTTCTTCTGTCTGCAAAACTGTTGTCGACCCTTTTCAGCCACTTCAGCTGTTTTTTTTAGGTTTGTAACGTTGTTTACAACTCTTAAATTTCAGGACACACTACTCGTTCACATGAGGGGAAGTTACAGATTTAGCTTCTTTATATAAATATATATTTTGACTTGTGTTCATAACTTTGCAGTGAGTGCTTTTAAAGCCGTGCACTTTGACCTCTGCTGCCTCCTGTTGAGCTCAGGACGCTCAGCGTGGAGGAACTTCGGTGCATCCAGAGGTACCAGCTGGCTGACGAGCGCTGGCGCTGCTCGATAAGCCCTAGTGCACCATGGGAATCTGGCACGACGACGATATTCATTGTTCAACCATCTGCTGAGTCACTATATGACTCCTGGATGACGGGATCTGACCCCGTACAACGTGTGCAGGAAGGCGGCCGTGAGTTCTGTGTTTTCCAGCGCAGTCGAGCTCACCACACACACTCTGCTCCCATTCAGTGCACACACCTACTCCGTCTTACTTACCGTCTGCTGCCACGTGGTGTATTGTTGTGTGTGTGTGTGTGTGTGTGTTGTGTTGCAAAGTCGAACGGCTGAGTTGCGCTCGGAGGGAGAGGAGCATTAAAAAGACATTAATTAGGCGGCGCGATGTTTTCCCAGTCGCTGCAAAATCAAGAGTTATGGCACCGCAATGGAGAATGAAGTGCGCAGGTTTGATCAAATCATTAGAAGTTTGAAAGATAATGTGAGCTGAAGGGTGATGCAGAGCCTGGGGGGGGGGGGGTGTTACAGAAGCACCTGTGTGCACTTTTTTATTCCTGTGCGTGTGCATGCGCTCATGCATGTGTCTGTTTATCCAGGCTCCTGAGCTCTGCTGCAGTCAGATTAGGGCGTGCTTGTTTGCAGACTTCAATGTGACTCTGCATGGCGCCTTTCCCCCCCCCGCCTCCCTGCTCCTCGCCCCGAGTGTCCTCGGAGAGCGCCGCTCGCTCCTGCGGGACTCGTCTCATTAGTTCGGTAATTAAGATAAACGAGGGTTTAATTGCAGCCGTGATCAACGCTAATGATTGTGGGACTCGAGATGAGGATTTCCTCTCCCTCCTCTAATCAGGGGGTGGATCTGGGGGTGGAAGTGTACAAGAGATCGCAGTGGCGCTCCGCCTGCACCGCTGCTCCGCCTGCACCGCTGCAGGGATCGGGCGTGACGGGGACGAGTCAGAGGGGGACGCTCCCTGGTTCCGACGGTCTGATTTGGACTCTTTGGGACCCGAACCTCCGGATCTCACCATAAACCAAACAGTCAAACCTTTGTCTCCTCAGGTTTAGCGTCGTGCTTTAAGTCCTCAAACGTTCCATCAGTAAAGAGAATATTCCCACAACTAATTAAAAAATGGAGGTTTCATTTCACTCACATGGAGGCTGTCAGTAAATAAACAAACATGATCTTTGTAGAGTTCTTAATCACTAAACAGAACTTTTCCTTTTTTTTTAATTGTCTGAATGTTTATGAAGCATCCACTCTGTTGTCATCCATTTTTCTTCTGTAGGTTTTTCAGCATCTTTCTCGTCCCACAGTTTTCATCTATTTCAACAAATCATAAATCAAAACGTTCGGCTCTTTCAGGACAATCCTGCTATGACTTTTGGTATTGGTGCAACTTTAGCTTTTTGAAATATTTAGCCTTTTCTGCCACTTTCTTTCCTCATAGAAAATGAATTTAGCTCATTTTCCATCCTTCAAATCTTTAGATCTGTTTACAACCTTTTACTGCTCCTTTCACATTTTGTTCTGCTTCAGCTTCTTTCAGCTTCTTTGTGCAAATTTAAACTTTTTGGCTACTTTCAGCCAATTTCAGCCCTTTTTTTTCAGCTGTTTTGTGCTACTTTCAAATTCTTTCTGCTAATTTCAGCTTATGCTCCCTTCAGCTTGTCTGCTAGTTTCAGCTTTTTCTGCTATTTCAGTTACAATTTAGCTGTTTTTATGCTAATTTGAGCATTTTCATCTACTTCCACAATTTTTGCACTCATTTCTACTTTTTTCAGCCTAATTCAGCAACAATGTCCTCTTTCTACCTCATTCTGCAAAATTAAGCTTCTTTTGGCTTTTTATGGAGCTACCTTTCAGCTGATTTTTGCTCATTTCAGCTTTTTTCAGATAATTTCCACTTTTTGGTGTTCATTTCTGCTTCTTTCAGCAGTCATGTTCTTTCTGCTTTCTTCTGTTAATTTAAGTTGTTCTGCCTTTTCAGCTACTTTTTAGCCCTTTTTTTAAATCTAATTTCAGCTGTTTATCAAGTTTATCATGTTAATTTTTGCTACTTTCAGCCTAATTAACTTCTTTTTGCTGATTTCAATATATTATGCTCCTTTCGGCTTATTTCTGCTAGTTTCAGTTATTTTATTTTTTTTGCCTTTTCAGCTACTTTTTAGCTGTTTGCGCTAAATTTAGATTTTTCCGCGTATTCCACATTTTTTAGCTCATTTCAGGTCATTCCACTTCCTTCTGGTAGTTTCAGCTTCTTTGACTTTTCATCTACTTTTTAGCTTACGTATTATTTTTTTGTTATTTTCTGCTGAGTTCAACTCTTTTAGCTAATTTCTTAATTTTCTGCTTATTTAAACCTAATTCAGCAAATACGTGTTCTTTCTGCTTTCTTCTGCTAATTTGTTCTTGT